CGTCGCGTTCCCAGGAGCCGCTGGCCGGAGGGAGGTGAGCGGAGCCTGAGGGGGCGACCTAGAGGGGGATGGGGGGAGGGTCTCGGGCCACCTGAGCTCCACGGGCTCGGGTGACGCTGGGATCTCTGGGCTCCTCTGGGGCTTCGCACCCGCACCGTGAGCACCAGCGCTCGGCTGTTTTCCTCTAAATGAGGGGAGGCTGGGGAGCTGGAGTTCTGCAAATCCTGCAAACATTTGCTGGGGTGCAGCGACTTCACGCGTTTTCCGAGCGTAATAGAAAGTAGGTACAAAGCCCTATCCCGGCGGCATCGAATCCGAGGCTCGTCGCCGTCCCTGGTCTCCAAGCCAGAACTTTTAATTAAACTCATGAACTTTTGGAACTCAGACCTGTCGGTTTCTATTGGCAGGTGAAATTGATAGATGGTTGCAAACAGTTTTAAAAGCGGGCGTAAAATGTTGAGACCTTTCCCCGAAACCTGTAAACTTAAAATGGAAAGTGGAAAACCCAATTTCCTTGTGTTTTCATGGTAAACAATTAGGTAATGTTAACTAGTATCATTTGAATTCTTTTGAAACCAGTAAGGATGGAAAGTTTATTTGCCTCAATGCATAATTTAACCGAACTAGAAGAAGTACGTTCTTGACTTTCGGCGGCTCGTATTGATTGGAGTGCTGTGTGGTTTGTGTTGGAAGTGCCTGTCACCAAATGGACATGAATTTTCGGGCTGCTTCTTTGGAAGGTTACATAGAAAACTTCCCTGCATGTTAGTGTAACCGTCGTGATTGCTTCTGATAAAGAGCAGTTTTGCGTGGGGTTTCTACATGCTGGAGCACCGGCTCTTTATCCACAAGTACGAAAGCAAAGATCGCTGTCGTGAGGAGGGTGGGGGCGTCGGGATGCCTGGCTGTTCTTTTCCAGACATTCATAGGTACCTCTTGCAAGCTATTTCGAACTTAAAATTCAAGGGTTGGGCTGGCTATGGACTCAGAAAATGTAGGATATTGAGGAAGCATGTCCCACAGAAATGTAGTTTAACTTAATTTTCACTAAGACATACAACATTACAAATAAGTTTTAATGTAAATCTGAGATTTTATACTAGGCTAATTACTGGAACATAGTAGTTTTTAACGTGGCTCCCACACTCCACGGCATCTGTGCTTGAGTTTGAACCCTGACCCATGTGAACACGGGACAAGAGTTCTATCGCTGAGATACATCCCAGCTTATTTATTTATTCAAGACATAATTGCTAGGTTTCCAAGGCTGACTTGCAATTTGGAATCCTCCTGTCTCAGCTTCCCCAGTAGCTGGAGTTACAGCTGTGCACAAATTACACCTGGAGTAAAATGGCTTTCTTTTTCTTTTTCTTTTTTTCTTCTCTCTTTCATTGTTGTTTTGAGACAGGGTCACAGGTAGCCCAATTTGGTCTTGACTCTTTGATCCTCCTGCCTCCACCTTTCCCTGTGCTGTGATTACAGTTTCAACCCCACCCCCATTCCCCCA